TATATATATATATATATATATATATCACACACAAATATATTCACACACATATATGACTGGTGGTTTAGAAAATGATTCAGAAGAAGTGCTTTGGACTTCACACAATGATGGCATCTCTCTTCTACTCATTAAAGTAGCCTGATTTTTTTAAAAAAAGATGCTACTACTTTAAGGAATCTACTCATTGAAGTTAATTTGGTTCATAAAGCAGTAATAATGTAAAGCAACCTGGAAAAAGGTAAGGTATTTTCATTTTTAGCAGAAAATTGCTATGATCACATGAGGTCAAGACCACTTCTTCTGAATAATTTTTGATATTAAAGATATGCCCACAGACACATAACTCAATTAAATTTATATGGTTCTTTACTTCCTTAAAAAGAAATGGCCGTCTTTGGGGACCGAAGCCCAACATATTTCAATATTCTGCTTCCAATAGTTGAAAATAAACCTATGGCAGGTCCCATTGTGATAAACTATATGCCTAAAAACCCAAACCATATGGACAGGGGAAAAAAAATTGCATGGCTCTTGATTAGCATTACAACACAGCAATCAGAGGTAAATATCTGCAGGCTAATTCCAAGAATAAGGACTAAGAATTCAAAAAGACAGAGACAGAAGATAGGAGTTGATCTAGTTCTGGAACTAGCAGGGCAAAGCAAGACAAGGCACAAAAACTTATGTTGCAATTGAAGGTACACATTGGTGAGACTAAGGATCCCCACTGGAAGTACTTAGGTATTCAGAGCCAACCAGGCCTCCATTGATCTGATATGTCACCCAATCTATCTCTAGATGTTGTATGGTTGGCCCTGCAATTCAACAGAAATCAGACTACCGTACTTTCCATCTGGCAGTTGCTGTTGAAATGTACACTGGCCTGAGTGCAACTGCTGGAGTCTTAATTTCAAGTTCCTTATATTCAGTCCTTCGGGGGTTTCTCTCACAGCCAAGAACAATTGGGTAGCAAGGGCCCATATAATTGGCTCCTCCATTAGATCTGAGGATTCAGATACATACTGTATCTCATAGGAGATTGTCCTATATGTATTTGGCTACAATACATATACATAAAAGACAATTCATGAATTGCTGATAAGAACTGCTAAGCTACAATAACTAGTTTCATAATGAGGCTTAATAATGCCCAACCTATTATGTGGTGTTTTATCATCATGTTGCTGGTGAAACAGAATAATTGTTATTTAAAGTGCATCGTCCTAAGTTAGGGAATATATAAATAATACCATTTTTAAACAAGTTGACCAGAGACTTTGATTTTGGATGCAGAAATGTTGAACGAAATAATATCCTTAAGTAGAGATGGTATACTTTTTCTCAGAATTTTACTTATGTGCCATTATCTAAGTTCTGGAATTAACGTATGCCAATAATAGTGTAAGGATTGTCCAATTCAGTGATTCTCAACCTTGGCAACTTGAAGATGTGTGGACTTCAACTCCCAGAATTCCCCAG